TATATATATATATATATATATATATATATATTCTTGTCATGGCAAACCTTGTCTTGCAACTCGTGTCTGCACAGAGGGAGGGTGTCGACTGTCCCAGGAGCAGGGGGTGGGAGGGCAGGTACAGAGCAGCACTCCCATTCAGCTGATTGACGTCTGAAGTCTTTAAAACTAGCAGCATAGGTTATTGTTGGGTGTCTTTAAAAAGAATCTGTCACAAATGGGGAGTTGCTCTTCAGTGGGTATAAAGTTCCTGTCCTGCAAGATGAAGGAAGTCCTAGAGATCTGCCGAACCGTGTTTATAGTCAACAAGACTGTGCTGTACACACAAAAATGTGGTAAGAGGGTAGATCTCAAGGTAGGTGTCCCTTTTTCTTTTTTAAGATTTTATTTGTTTGAGAGAGAGAGGGTGCATGTGCACACACAAGCAGGGGGAGGGGCAGAGGCAGAGGCAGAGGGAGAAGCAGGCTCCCGCTGAGCAGGGAGCCCAACGTGGGGCTCGATCCCAGGACCCTGGGATCATGACCTGAGCCGAAGGCAGACGCTTAACCGACTGAGCCACCCAGGCGCCCCTCAACGTTAAATGTTCTTACTACAAAAACAGTTGCTGTGTTGAATGTTACTGAGAGTCCGGAAAATAAGAGGACCAAGGAATGTCCCTGACAAGGTCTAAATGCACGGACATGACGGACAGATCTTCAACACCTGCCGAGTTTAAAGCTATTGCAACACAGTACCCACCACATAAACATCTCTTACATTTAATACATTTTCTATGGATCATAGTTGTACCTAGTTTTTAAACACCATATACCCACCAAACTCAAACTCGTAATGGTGATTATCTCTGGAGACAGAAAGCTGATGGCCTACATGTGTGTGTGAATGAATCAATGCATTCTTTGAATAATTCAAAATGCATGTTTAAAATCAAGTACTTACTGAATCTTGGAGATCGCTGGGGATGTTAGTAAGAGATTCCTTGGAGTAGTGACAGTGGAAATGGGGACGCATGGCTCAGATGCCGGGGCTAAGGGAAAGAGCCAGGTGCACACAGGCGAGTGTAGACAACTCTGGCCTCAAAGAGGCAGCACGGGACTGGGCTAGGGGAGGGGAGGACGCTGACAGAGACAGCAAGAGAAGGCAGGATGGAGGCAGGGGAGGTGACATAAAGTCCCTGGGAAGGTGGGTGGGTGGACCAGAGCCCCATGCAAGGTGTGGCTTGTGCCCTTGACCTGTCCACGGCATAACTACAGCCCCGCTCACACCCGGCCCTAGGTCAATGTCGGCCAATGTTAAGCGTACCCACTAGTGATGGCCAACCAGAAGAGGGCAGCGTCGGCCTTTCAAGAGAAGCATCCCGGATCCACCTCTCAGTAAGCCGGCTCCTCCCACCTGCAGGGAGGGGGCGTGGCCTCTCTCGGCCCTGGGGGTCAGCAAGGCAATCGTCACCAGCTGGAGCCCAGCTCTGCCCTGCCCTCCGCAAGGGAAAGACGCTGGAGACCCCACTGCCGCTGGCCCTACTCACGTGGCCACTTCCCAGCGAGTCGCTCTCCCCCTGCGCCCCCTTGCCAGTCTGTTAAATGCTTCCTCACTGGGCTGTTGTCAGAATCAGGGTAGTAATAATTACCTCACAGGGTTGTTGCGAGAATAAAATGAGATCATATACAGAAAACACTTGGCAAAGTGCCTGGCAGGACAGAAGCACTCAGCAACAGTACGTGCTTTTAACATCCCTGCGGACTTCAAGGTCTAAGCCCTTAACACCCTCTAACTCTGCTCTTTGGAGGCCAGCCCTGAGGCCAGACGGCCAAGCACAGGGGCCCACCTCTGGGTTTCCAGACACACAGGACTAGTCAGGGGGTTTGGGTCCTGTTCTTCACCCCTAGACCAAGAAGGCTGGAAAAGGAGCCCCTCCCTCCTCTCCCAGAGCCGAGCCCCGGCATGCCCGCAGGGGGACGTCCAGGCTCTGCTACCAGCAAGCTGTGCGGTTGGCCCCCAGTCTCCTCGACTGTAAAATGGCGATCTCTCTCCCTACGCACCTCACGGGCTTGATGTGAGACACACATGAAGCTAGGTGTGCAAAGCAAGAGCTAATGCAAGGGGGTTTTGCGGTGACAATGGGGAGAGACTCACCTATCACTAAGAGCGTTAACGTCGTCTTTGAAAAAGGTTAACCTGCTTGTTCTCACCATCCCACCATGGTGCACACCTCTTTCCCACCCAGAATCCCTCCACCCCTGTCATCCTGCCCAGGCTAGCTCTCCTCCTTTCTCCTCCAGGGTCCCTTTCTAGAATCCTCCTCACAACACCCAACCATACTGTTGACCAGGATTTGAAAAGAGTTCCCCTCAAAACAATCATTACTAACCATTAAAAAAATGACAGTAATGACAATATCACAAAGCAACGCCCACCAGGTTTGTTCTCACCTCAGGGCCTTTGCACTTGCTGTGCCCTCTGCCTGGAAGCTCTTCCCCTAGTTATCCACCTGGCTTGATCCTTTGCTTCCTTCGGGTCTGTCTTCAAATTTCAGCGAAGCCTTCCCTGGCCAAACTACATAAAAGTACAATCCTCCTACTACATCAAAAACTTATGATGTAATGTATGGTGATTAACATAACAATAAAAAAGATGAAAAAAAAAAGTACAATCCTCCCTCCTAACATTTCCTACTTCCCTTCCCCACTTTAACTTTCTCCCTACCATTGACCATCTAAAATAATATCGATTTTCATTGTTTAACTTATTTGGTTTTTAGAAAGCAAGTTCCCTGAAAGAAGAGCCTTTTTTGTTTGACTTGGTTTGGTTTGTTCACTTGCTAAATCCCCACCTGGAATAGAACGTGCCCCCTGGTAGGTGCTCAAAAAAGTTTTGCTGAATGAATAAATATGTCCAAAGCAGGACTCTGAGGAAACTTTGTAAGCTTGAACGCTTTCGTCAACTAAGAACAGGAAGAAAATAGATGAGTGAAGCATTCAACTCCAAGACAGCAGAGCCTGTCTTACTCAACACTGTATTGTCAGCCCTAGTTACACACTGACCCTCACACTGGAGTTCAACGACTAGAGAACGACAGTAAATAAGCAAAGTAAATCTAGAGAGAGCAGGAGGGGAATTAAGTCAACAGCATTAATCTCATTACAAAGGCAGAAAAATTGGCAACACAACAGAATTCTCAAAGGATTAGTTGAGAAAATGTACTGTCACACATTACTAAGACTATAAAAGAAAAAAAACAATGATAAGAAGGTGTTTTTGTTTTGTTTTGTCTTGTTTTAATTAGAAGAATACCATGTATAGCTCTATGCCAAGAAGCTTGAAAATCTCCATTAAAAAGGTGACCCACCTGCCCAGAGACACACACGGCTTTCGGCTTCCCGGCTTCCCGTTTAGAACTTCCATGCTTGTTTCTCCCTCCCTCATCCCTTCAACCCCCCTCCCAAGTGGGTGGCCTGTCCCAGGGGGCAGGGGCCAATGGCAGGTCACCCCTGCTTCCCCAGGGCCCGCTGGCAGCACCCCAGCCTCGTGCGTGCTTAGCAGGCAGAGACAGTCAGTGTGTCGGCTGGGGGCAGGGGCTCACCTTGTTGGCACAGCTGAAGCCCAGCCCCAGCTCGGCCAGGACCTTCAGCACACCTGGGCTGCTGTTGCACTTGACCATGTAAAAGGGCCGGACTCGAGGCAGGCACTTCAGGAAGCAGAAGTGCTTCCTCACCACAGCACCCAGGTCGGCCACGAAGAAGGCAGCAACATCACCCTGCGCAAGAAGAGTGAATGTGAGACCCCCGCTCAGCTCCCTCCTGGAGCATGCCATCCACCGTCCTCCTGGCGAACCTGCCCCAGGCCCGGCTCTGGCTGCCAAGCCACCTGGCTCTCCATTCCCTGCACGGAAGGCCTGCATTCGGGGTTCTATGATCTGGCTCCCGCCCCTCCTCCCCTCACAGCAGCTCCAGCTCCAGCCCCACACTGCTGCGTTTCCCCACCTCCAAGCTCTTGCTGCCACCATGCCCTTCGCACAGAATCCCCTTGCCCCCGCTCAGCTCTGGCAAATGCCCAGTCTGTCTTCAAGTTTCACCTCCCCCAAAACAATAAGGCAGTTAACTCTGCCTTTAATGCTCTCACTGCATTTTGCACATGCTTTCAAAGTACTGGAACTTGATATACATTCATCTTCTCCTGAAAAAGTTAGATTCTTTGCAGGCCAAAGCTATGGCCTGCAGCCCACGGCCTTCCACATGTAGGCGCTGGCTGAAGCCTTGCGCGAGTCCCACCGCCACTGCGACCAATGCCCGGGAGCAACCGGTCATCACAGATTTGCTGAGGGCAAAACATGTACGAGGCTCTGGGTGAGACAGCATTACTTCAACCCTCACTGGAACTGTTTCCCTTTTATGCTACACTTTTTTTTACTGAAGCCCACTTGGTGTCTGACATGATGCTAAGGGACAGAGCTGACCAGACAGGGCTCCAGCCCTGAAGGGGCTTGGGTCTTGAAGACAGCCAATGCTTTGAGCAATGACAGTCCCGTTCAATAAATGCTCCGTGGGAGTTCCTCCACAAGGCAGCGGAGGCCACAGAGAATAGGAAATACAAAATCGGCCCGGGAGATTAGGACAAAGTGACACTGATGAGTAATGAGGAAGGACAGAAATAGGTAGGGCCAGACAGGCCGGCAGAGGGGCATTCCAGGCAGAGGGAGCGGCTGTGAAGGCAGAGCTCGGGCTTGACCCTGCAGGCGGCGGGGGACCGCCAGACAATTCTGAGTTTGAGGCTGGCTGTGATGGAGTGGGAGCAGGTGGGATGAGGCAGGGAGGAGGTTAGTGGGCCCCTAGAGAGTTGAGGTCTGAACTACAAAGCCAGGGCCGGGCAGAGCACCCCGGCGGGTGGTGTAAGGAGCTTGGTGGTGTCCTGATGACAGGGGGAAGCTGGACTCCCAGGTTTCTGACCTAGAGGGCTGGGTAGATGGTGGTGGTGCTGTTCATCAGGGCAAGGCAGGCAGGGAGGACAAAGTTTGGGGCAAAAACAAGGAAATGGGGGGTCAAATGAGCCCATCTCTGGCCAAAAGCAAGGACTGAACGCCAAATATGAAGGAAGATGAGGGCCAGAGGAGTCCTTCCAGAAAAGGCAGCTGGGCCTGCACGGGGAACAAGAGACCCACCCCCACTCCCAGTCCCTCACCGCGGTGGCCTGTGAGGCCCCCAGAGTGAGCTCCTCCAACAGGTCTCGGGTGCTGAAGCCCTCCTCCACCATCACAAAGTCTGTTTCGCTCAAGTAGCCAGCCATGCCGAGGAGGAGGAGCCGATGGGCTGGATGGAGCCGCCGCCCGGGCCGCCTTAGAAAGTATGCAACACACTGCGGGGGGGAAGGGGGTGTGTAAAGTGAGGGGGCCCGCTGGGGGGCTGCCCTCTGATGCCCCTCTGACCTCCCCAAGGCGGGGCGCCCAGTCCTGACACACCCCACCGCCTGCACAAGCCTAGGGAGTTTAGGTCCCCTGGGAAGGGTGGGGACGACCAGGAATCCTGACTGGGACAAGGCATAACATGCCTAAGATGTCACTGCCTCTCCGAGCTTCAGTTTCCCCATCTGTAAAATGGATGGATTATTTTGGAAATCCTTTCCAGTTATGAAATTCGGGTTTTAGCAAAAAGGGAAAGAACGAGAGGGAGCAGGAAAGTCAAGAAGCTCGAATGGGGAAGTTTTCAGGCCACCCTCAGTCTTGACCACGCCCAACTAAAGAGGCTGGGAGTGGCCCCACCAAGGAGTCTCAGCCCCAGAGCAGGAGTTTAGGTTCGAGTCCGCCCCCGCTCCGTGACCTTGGGTACGCCCTGTCCCCTCTCCGAGCCTCAGTTTCACCGTTTGTAAATGGGGGGGGGGGAGCAGGTCCTGACGTGCTAGGATTCTAAGCGTGCATGGGGCCACATGGTGGGTAGGGGTCGTGGGCTCCCGGGCGGGAACCGAAGGCTGAGGTTCTGCCCCGGTGAGCCTTCCCGAGTGCAGGGCCGAGAACCCGCCCCCCACACCCCCTTACCAAGCTCCGTCCTCCTTCGCGGGGGCCAGAGCCAGGCGCGCTGCTAGGGGGGGTCGCCGGTGACCTCGAAACTTGTGCAACACCCCAAGGAGGAGTGGCAGTTGCGGAGCCGAGGCCCCTGCTGAGAGGAGGCAAGGGGGCCAGGGGCAGGTCAGCACTGGAGCCGAGGACGCCTGCCCCCGGAGGCTCCCCGAGCCACTCCCCGCACTCGCCTTAAAACGCATTTACACGGCTTCGGCCCATAGGTCTCCCCAGCGAGTGAACTGGATCCTCGGCGCCTCCGCTCGCCCCCTCCCCCCGGCTCGGGCCCCGCGGCCTGCGCCCCGCCCGCCCAGCAGCCACCGACCCCCACGCCCCGCCTGCCGCCTGCCGCCTGCTTATATAAACCCCGCCCAGGCCCCGCCCCTGGGCCCCAGGCCCCGCCCCTCTCGGCCCCCTCCGTAGCCCTGGCAACCGGGTGCCGCCACCCCATTGGTCAATTCCGACATAAAGCATTCAGCTCCGCCACCCTGCTCGGCAAACCTGAGTAAGCTTCAATTCTCCCGGCCCGGCTGGCTCCACCGCTACCCCACCGCTACCCCACACCGGGAAGTGGGAACTGCAGAGCCGCCGCCTCAGAATCCCGAGCGCCTACACGCTGGGAAGCTTAGGTCCTGGATCTCGCATCTTAGCGAGCGGGCAGGAAGCCAGGAGGTTTCCTTTTTGCTCTGGGATATCTTCCCTGACTACCTCCTCTCCCGGGTGCCTCTCTCCTCTACTCTGGTGATCTGCTCATTCCATCCCTCAAAGCCCGGGTCAAATGTCATCTCCTTGTGTTACTTTTCTAATAAAATCCTTATTTAGTTACCTCTCCCAGCGTCTTCTCTGATTCCTCCAACTCAAAACCCAGCTAAAATGTCTTCAGAGATGTGACTTTCCCAGCTCAGGGCAATCTTTCCCTTCACCCCACCTTCTGAATGGGGCAAACTCCTACTCACCTGCAAATAAAATGTCTCCTCCAAGGTGCATTCTCTGACTTCCTCAACTCAAAGCATTTTTTCTCTTCTACACCTAACAAACTCCTCCTGCTCACCTATCAAAGTACAGTATAATGTCACCTTCCCTGTTGAGCGTCCCATGACTTTCCTAGCCTGGAGGGACAATGGAACTCACAGCGGTTATATCTGTGTGGACTCCTCACTCATTTGGCTCTTGTTACCCAGAGCATGAGATTCCTGTTGTTGCTTTACACTTCTTGTTTGGTTACACTTCCCAGCTATTTTGTGAGTTCTCAAGGGCAGGAACTGAGTGCCTGACTCCTCAGAGTGCCCAGTGCCTGGCTGAAGAAGATTCAGTATCTGTGTTACTCAGAAGCTAATCCAAAAGTTCATCTGAAACAGTGATCGTACATAGAAAGAAAGGAAGGAAGGAAGGAAGGAAGGAAGGAAGGAAGGAAGGAAGGAAGGAAGGAAGGAAGAAAGAAAGAAAGAAAGAAAGAAAGAAAGAAAGAAAGAAAGAAAGAAAGAAAGAAAAAGAAAGAAAGAAAGAGAAAGAAAGAAAGAGGATTTCTTCGACCACATATCAAAATATGTTATAAAGCTATGGTCTTTAAAACATCATGGTGCTGTGCAGGAAGACACAGTAGTAAAACAGAACAGAATCTAGAATAGTCTCATGCATATTGGAGAATTTGATAGGTAATGGGGGCAGCATTTCAAATCCATGGGGCCAAAGAGCTCTTTAGTCTAACATATGTGTTTATGTTCTCTGTCGGGCTGTAGGCTTCTTGGAAGCCAGAGGCACTTCTTGTCATGCCTCAGTATCTCCCTAGGGCATTGTGCGCAACCTAATCGGAAGGTGCTCAGCGTATATATGGTGTAGACCATGATAGTATGGAAGAGCCATTTTCTGCTCCCCACTCAGCCTGGCCACATGACCGCTGGGTGTCCTTGGTTGGGTCATCCTGCTTCGACCAAGGTTTCCTCTGCCTGGCTTGGTTTCCCCGCTGTGAACTGAGAGGGTTCAGACTGAATGAATTCTCTAGGCCCTTCTGCCTGGAAACTTCTTGCTTTCTATGCATTGGAGCACCCTTTCAGGGGCAATCTGCTTTACAGGATGGGTCATTTGCAGGTCCTGGCAGGTCCATGCTTTGCGAGATCTGTAGTCATTTGCACCATAATATGAATTATGACTGAGGTCTTCCTGAGACTAAACATCTACTGATTAGGAGGGGGTAGACCGACATTGCTATGGCAGAAACCTCAAAGGGAGCCCTCAAGAAAAAGATGACAGTAAGAGAAGAGTGAGGGCACTCAAAAAAACTGGCTCTATTTTTTAAAATTATTCTTTGAGCTAGCTGTATTTGGGAGCCATGGGTCTAAGTCCACCTCACTAGCTTTTTTCATCACCTGGTACATAGTTAAATGCATAGTGGGGCCCATTCAGTACTCTTACTGAATCAATCAAAAAAGGTAAGAAGGAACAAGCCTGAATCTCCTCTGTACATTTGTAATTTGTTAAGGGTTAGTAGTCAGAGCAGAAAAATCTGTAACCCTGGACTGGATACAGATTTATCTTTTTCCCTCCTGGGTATGTGATGTCACTGAATCTCCATGACAACCCTATGTCATAGGGGCTATAATTGTTCCCATTTTATAGATGACGAATCTGAAACTCAGAGAAGTTCGGTAACCTGCCCAGGGTTACATAGCAAGTAAAGGGGGAGCCCGGATTTAAACCCATCTGTCCCAATTCAGCCTTTACGCTTACCTGCCAACCGGTGCCTGAGCGTTTGGGCCCCAGCTCAGCAAAAGTCACACAGTCATCCTGCTGGCATCCAGACCAGAGGCCAGTGACTCCTCTTCTGCCAGTCTCCTGTGCCACCATTACCCGTGTACAGCCCTCAGAAACACGCTGCTGAAGCAGAACAAAGAGCCTCTCATCTCTGGCCAGGATCGTGTCAGGCAACTTCAACCCATTCTTCCTAAACCAATCATAATTACAGTCACAACCACCGCAAAAATATAAATGCCTTACATGTGTAGAGAACTGGAGAGTTTACAAAATACTTTCTGGTTCATCATTTCATTCAGGCTTCCCAGTGCTTCACAAGATTGGACATCAGTTCAGTTTAGGCTTGGCTGAGGAAAATAAAAGGTCAAAACTCACAAAGCGGGATGCCTGGGTGGCTCAGTTGGTTGAGCGTCTGCCTTTGGCTTGGGTCACGTTCCCAGGATCCTGGCATCGAGTCCCGCATGGGGCTCCTTGCTCAGCGGGGAGTCTGCTTCTCCCTCTGCCCCTCCCCTCATGTTCACTTTCTCGTTCTCTCTTTCTCCCTCTCTCTCTCTCTCTCTCTCTCTCCCGAAAAAATAAATAAATAAAATATTTTTTAAGAAAATATTTTATTTATTTAAGAGAGAGAGAGCAGAGCAAGAGAGAGAACATGGGCAGGGAGGAAGGGTAAGGGGAGAGGCAGAAGGAGAGGGAGAAGCAGGCTCCCTGCTGAGCAGGGAGCCCAGTGGACTGGATCCCAGGACGCTGAGATCATGACCTGAGCCGAAGGCAGACGCTTAACTGACTGAGCCATCCAGGTGCCCCTATTAGTCCCATGTTACAGATGAGAAAATTGGGGTTAAATCCTTTATCTAAGGTCACACGGCTAGTGAGTAACAGAGCTGGGACTTAACAGCTCTGGTCCGGCAAATTTGATGCCTATGAAATTGGCCCCAGGAACGGGGCAGGAAGCCAGAACAAAGAAGGCAAAGACCAGGCCAAGAGCAAACAACAGGAGACCCAAGAGAGGCTGAAACTGAGAGTCAGACACAAGATGAACTGGCAGAAAGGGCATGAACTGCAAACTCCCAGGAAGCATTGGTGTGATGGAGACTCTGAAGCAAGCAGAAGCTGGAAGTAAGGTCAGGGCTGTCTTCAAGTTGAGGAGGGCAATGAATAATACCAGTAGCCACCATGGATTGAGCATCTTCTAGGCCCCGGGCATGGTATTATGCGCTTAATGACAATAATAGCTGACATTGCCAGGGTACTTGCCATCACGAGGCCTTGTTGTAAGATGGATGTAACCCCTAACCTCACAGCCACCCTACACGGTGTGTGCTCTTGGTGGTAGAGGGGAGGCCACATGCAGGAGACGCTAAACTCCTCAAGGTCACACAGCGTGTGTGTGTGGCACCACTAGGCTACATACATTTCCTCCATCCTCACCACAAGCCTGCAAGGTGAGAATTATTACTCTCATTTCATGGATGGAGGAATCCGAGGCCCAGAGAGGCCACGTGATTTTCCCAAGACCACACAGCTGGCAGATGGCAGAGCCTGACTCCAATTCAAGGCTGCACAGTGAGGAGATTGGAACGGTGTAGCCCTGGGTCATGTGGGAGCAGACCTTGGACCCCAACCCTGGGAACCCAGAATTCTAGTTATTAGTGAGGTGTCTGTGTCCCCTGACACAGACGCTCGAGCGTGTTGACTGAAGATGGGATTATCGTCACACCCCTTCCCTAGACAGACAAGGTGTTGAGAGGCTGAATTTGGTAGTTTGGATCTCTTTACGTTTATTTTCACTGTCTTTTAGGCTGAACACAAATGTGAAAAAATAGTAATAGCGTGTGACAATTAAGGAATTCACACACCCTCTCTCAAGCCGGACCTGAGTCATTTCTGACAAATGTGATAGGAAAACAATAACAACCAAATAAAAACTACTTGGCTGAAAATTCTCCCTTTCTCCAGCTGCTGTCCCAGAAGCCACTGGGAGGGGACGGAAAAGGCTGTGGCCTCTCCCGCCTTCGCCAGTAGCTCTCAGATGGGTGCGCATTACGATCACCTGGAGGCCTTGTTCGAACAGATGTCTGGGCCTCGCCCCAGAGTTTCAGATTCGGTAAGTCTGGGGTGGGCTTGACAGTATGCATTTCTGACAAGTTCTCAGGGCCTGCTGAGGGTGCTGGCCCAGGGACCACACTTTGAGAACCCCTGCTTCAACGAACTTGAAGCAGAGCCGGCAAAGAGGTCAAAGCTGAGTACTCTTGAAAGAAGGGCATCAGGTTCTCATCCCGAGAGGTAGGATGGGGCAAAAACCAACCCGGGCTGGACGGCTGTACCGTCTCCGGATAACAAGAGAACACATTTCAAGGGTGGAGAAGCTTCAGTCCATCTCCTGGCTGTGTGACCTTGGCAAACTTATTATCCTATGTGAATACCCCCTTTATTTATCTGTGAAATGGGCACAAGAATGCCTACTTCCTAGGAGAACTGGTGTAAGGAATTCACGAGTGTGGAAAAGCTTTTGCCTAGTGCCTGGCACATACATTCACAAATGCATCCTAA